GAGATACGCTTTCGACACGGTTGCAGAAGTGTAAGATCAGAGGTCCTGTAAAAGATATGGCCGAAGATCGAGAAAGACAGAATTACAGCTGTTTAACATTATAGCCAGCAAATAATTAACGAGGCTAATATTAGGACATCTAGAACATTCTACTGAAAGGAAGACTGTAAGAACTCATCTTTGTGTTCATTAAAACTATTATTTTACTGTATTAACCCGTCCTCCCTTGTTCCTTGCTTTGCACGGGTTAGTGAGTGTGTATTATACTGGCAGACACCTACGACCAGCTACCACTCAGTGGATTTCAGCCATGTTCTTGCTTAAGCATATTTCAGGGCTTGGGCTGATGTACAGCATAGCCCATGAAAGTTATCCACTTGAAGATGGCAGATTTGCACGCATAACCAGAAAACACAACCACAACGCTTGGTATTGATTCCCTTCAGTAACTCTCTTGCTTTGAATGAATCTCCGTGCCGCGATGCCAGGAGGCACAAAAAAGACCATACAGTACGTCCTACTCCACAAGAAACCAAACCAATTAGAGGTCCACCATCCCCGTCCTAACACCTCCCAAAACAATGGATATGCAGGAGATACTTTATTTAGGACTTACACCTTTGAGTTTTGCGTCTCTTCACCTAAAAGTACAATTAATACAATGCAATTCCCATCACGGCCCCACCCAAAGAAAAAAAAAAGGAATAATAAAAAACAAATCGCATTTCATCCTCTTTACTCTGATATATAGTCCGCGAAAAGAAGATGGGCCCAGGAAATTCCTCTGGCGCCGATCGCCCAAAATAAAAAGAGGCAGCTGGGAAAGAATGATAGAAGGAGACGGAGTAAATGCGGCTGCAAGAATGAATGTAAAAAGGAACGCAACAAAGAAGGAACAATTGTGAAGAGAGAGCCTGGGGAAGCATTTCTGGCTGTGATCAACAAGTGGAGACAGAAGGACTGCGGCTTGACAGCCTATGAAACCCAGTCTCATTAGGCAACCTATTGTATGGCTCGATCCGAACAATTTGGGGAGTCTACCTATTTAGTAATCCTTAATTATTCCAAGCGCACTCTCGTTGACATAAGATGCTATCACTCGCTTCGTACTGTCGTATTTCCACATATCATATGCATTATCACACCTTGGGATTAGCAGCGCACAGCTACATACCCGACACATATGATTCTGATGGAGTGTCACATTCCCATTTCTTGCCTGTAATAACCAACCACAATACGTTGATAAAATAAGTATCTCAGCAAGGAGGGTCAAAAAGACTACCCTGCAGTTAACCTGCTGAAACTGAGAGAGGATTAAAATTGAGACAAATCAACCCAGATAATTCCGTTATATGTGTACGCCAAAACCTTTCAAGTTAAACAGCATATGAGATGCTTTACGAAAGGCTCGTCGTAACCACACAAAACTGTCTTGTCGGTGCCTGAAGCGAAATTAATTCCATTAAGAAACCTTATTCAACCCTAAGTCCACTGATTATGGTAAAATACATGTTTGTACCACAAAATAGATGTTGGTCCAGTAAACAGATTAGATAAGAAAACATAATAATGGCACTTGTCTCACCCAATCCTGTGTTTCACTAGTGCACTTCCTTGAGAGCCCCCAGAACTAAAACAAACAGTTAAATAAAGTCAGGCACATTGGTAATAGTAAAAAATAAAACTTTTCTTAGTGGTCTTATCGGTAAATTCATGGGAAAAAATCAATGATCCTAATCGTACCCCATGGAAATCTCAAGCAGCATGGGAAAGAGAAAATCAGTGTATTCAGAAAACAAAGTAGTACCGAAGCAGGAACAAAGCACCCATTTGTTTGATAAAATGGAAAAGGTGAATAGACCAGATTTTAAAATCCATTTTTCACAACGAAGAAGGCACAATATTCCTATAAACATAGACAATACAGACCTACCTTAAATGAGGAGAGAGTGCAATGCAGACCATGTAAAACACAATTATTTGAATGGTTGTTAGCAGTGCGAGAAAGCTCACTCTCTATCTTTGAGGTAAAATGCAGTGATGCCCGGAAACTGTTGATATCTATTACAAAAGTAAGAAGATGACTGATGTTACGAAGGAAGAGGAGAGAGTTCACCCCGGGGAGGTTCGTTCGTGAAGCTCGCCGCACCATGCCAATGAACCATGTCAAACTTCGCATATAAAATATCTGGAAAAGGTGGAAAAATGGCTGGGCTTAATTAAGTAAGGCAGTGATCCCGATAAAAGAAAATGATCCACTCTCTCTTCACCTACATATCGCAACAGCTACGTACTAACAGGGTAAGGGGACTGCATGAGAGGAGGGATGAGCAATGGCTTGCCACTCCCAAGTGCTGATCTACTCTAATAACCCATAGCCTCCACAACCTTTACCACAGCATATGGACTATGACAATGAGGATTCTAGCATAACGGGGCATGAACCAAGAAATCTAAAACCCAGGAAGCGACCACGTAGAGCTGCGCAGTATCCAGCATATATACTCAACCTCATTAATATAAATCGACTCGGTGACACCTTTATAGAAACGTCATCCACGCACTGAATGTTTGCCATAACCACATCCATTTAAACTCCATTCTAACCAGGTGCTCTGTACCCTACAGATCCGGAGGAAAAATGTATTCCCCCAGTCTCCGCACTCGTTCTCGAATCTCTCTGAGCCATTTTCCACATTACCTAACCCATACAATGGCATGCTATAAGCACTGGACCTGGAAACTACTGGTATCAAACTCTGGAATTTTAATATTATACCTGTCTTACCATTCCCTTCCCACAAGAACCTAACTTTTCCTCATCACACACACTTAGCCATTATTTTACTATTCATAATACCCCATCACATAATACTCATATAATTAATCAATATATTATGATCCATTTATTGGTGACTAATGTTTCACAAGGAATTTTTCCTTGGATTTGGTCATAACATAAATCAAAATACTGGACAAATGAAAAATGGGGGCAGGTTGCCCCTCTTCAGCCCCTCTCCAGTGGCTCCCATTACTTTTCATTAAAGTAATTCTAACATTCTCCAACTGTAAAACTGTGCCGCTATTACACCAAATTAAAAACATTAACATTTTAACGACTATAATTGACAAAATGTTAAAATGCAATAAAAGAAAAGTCTTGGAGTAAAGGAGAAAATGTTATAGTACGAGGGCCGATGCTTGATTTGCAGTGAGAATTAGCAGTATAAGGCTCAAATATGTCTTGCGGCTCAAGACAGATTTTTTTTTGGTCCCAAAATGGCTCTTTTGATAGTAAAGGTTGCTGACCCAGGAGATCAGAGTTTTTACAACTTATCCTGAGGGAGACATGGATGTCTGAACCAAATTTCACTTCAGTCTATCCAATAGTTGTTGAGATATTTCAATAAAAACACACGGTGGTGCTTAAGGAAAAGTCAGGGGGATCACTTGGGGGACCATGGGGACCATGAATGTTTGTAACGAGGTTCATTGCAATCTATCCAACATGTGTTGAGATATTTCAGTCTGGACCAATATTGCCATTCCTAAAACCATAGCCATACTGCTGCAAGCATGGCATATTAGAACATACATATCAGAACATACATTGTTTTTGGCTATGGCACATGCATGTACACAGGTAAGCAGGGACCAGGAATTTGTCACATCACTAATTCTTCACCAACGTTACGCACAAGTTCAACCCCAATCTGGGGGTGTAACTGGTGGGGGGTGTATGTGGTGTATGCCACTGAACACAGCACCACTGCTTCTTGTGAGCTGTGTCCTGCACTTTAACAGAGGATAAACAGAGGATGTGGGATTAGAGCAATGTAATTGCATGAGCTTTGAATTTTCTTTACATATGTATAACTCTTTTACATATGTATAACTCATATGTATAATCCCCCAGGATTTGAGAAGCTGTTATATGAAAACCTTTGTCTTTGACCAGATTCCCTTTGTCTGTCGTGCCCCCAGGGGGGCAAGCAATTGCAAATCAAACAGCGACACATTGAAGCCATTCAGAGTGAAGGAAGAAGAAGTGCCAATGGTGTGACTCACCGTTGATAACCGGGGTGTACACTACGATGCCAGCCAGATTTGGGTCAGACACTGTTTTGTCCAGGATGAGCCCTCCGATGCTGTAGAACACAACATAATAAGATCATTAACTGGTGTTAATGTGTGTGTGTATGTGTGTTCTCTCTCTCTCTCCGTCTTTCACACCACACACACACCAACACATACACAACAACATCTAACACCAGTTAATGATCTATTATGTTGTGTTCTACAGGCTCGGAGGGCTCATCCTGGAACCAAAACAGTGTCTGACCCAAATCTGGCTGGCCCCCCCCCCCCCCCCCCCCCCCTTCGTAGTGTACACCCCGTTATCAACGGGTGAGTCACACCAGTTTGGCACTTCTTCCTTCCTTCACTCTGAATGCTTCAATGTGTCGCTGTTTGATTTGCCAATTGCTTGCCCCCCCTGGGGCACGACAGACAAAGGGAATCTGGTCCAAAATTTACAAAGGTTTTCATATAACAGCTTCTCAAATACTGGGGGATTATACATATGAGTTATACATATGTAAAAGAGTTATACAGTTATGTAAAGAAAATTCAAATGCTCATGCAATTAACATTGCTCTAAATTCCCACATCCTCTGTTTATCCTCTGTTAAAGTGCAGGACACAGCTCACAAGAAAGGCAGTTTTGGTTTGCTGATGAAAATTAATTTCTAAATAGTTGTGCCTGTCGCTGGTTCAGTATCTATTAGACTATCTCACATACACCCACCCACCATAATTAACCTCTCGCTCACCAAGAAGAGATGTTGAGAGGAGATTGAACTTTTTAACCCTTGCGTAAATTGTTTTGGTAAGTTTTTAAGATTTTAAAGGAAATGTAGTATTTTTATAGTAATAAACGTCTTCTTGATTTTCTTCTAGATGAATAGTGTAAATGTGGACAAATTCCTGGTCCTGTTACCTTGTGTACATGCATGTTTTGCCATTAAGCCAAAAACATTAATACATTTATATTTGGTCTATAATCTTATGTTCTGAGTGTATTTGTTATTGTTCGTTAATATGCTACCGACTTTCTGTGTGCAGCAGTCATGGCTTATTGGTATTTAATATGGGATTATGGCAATTTTATCTCGCGCCTCCTGACTGTTATTTTCTCCTCTTTAAACTATCTCAAACACATGTTTGGGATAGATTGCAATGCTAAGCTCGTTACAAAACATTCATATTGTATTATCTCCCCATGGATCCGCCCCATATAGAGTTATACCCCGCTGACTTTTTCCTTAAGCACCACCGTGTGTTTTTTATTGGAAATAATCATCATAACAACATATATTGGATAGATGAAGTGAAATTTGCGTTCAGACATCCAATGTGTCCACTCAGGATAAGTTGTTAAAAACTGCTGATCTCCTGGTCAGCAACCTTTTGATTAGCTTCAAAGAGATGGAAGCCATTTTTTTTGCGGACCAAAAAAAAGAGTGCAATCGCGTTGGAGCCGCGAAGGACTAGTTATTTATGTGTGAGACGTGTTTATTAACATAGACTAAAGTTCTCACTGCAGAAATCTCTTATAAGTGCATTCGGCCCCGTACTATAACAATTTTCATCCCTTTCTAAACCTCCATAGACTTTTCCTTTTTATTGCATTTTAAATGTTTGCTTAATCTCAATAATGTGGGTGCTTAAAATTATTTAGCTGCTCAGTATAATGATACTTTTGGGGTGTGTTAAATAAGCGGCACTTTTATTTATTACATAGTTGGAATGAAATTAGTTAAGTTTAATTCACTTTAGATGAAAAGTACTGGCTGTATAGATCTGGGGAATCCACTGGAGAAAGGGGCTGCCAAGGAGTGGCTAACTCTGCCCACATAATTATATACGATTGTGTACGAGATCTCATGGCTCGAATATTATAACCAATCCAATGGAAATTCCTTGTAAAACTAACCATTGCTTGAATCGTCTAATGTATGTTTTTGTCTGACGTTTCATCTATTGGTACTTGTATTAGAGGTAGTAGAGATGTGCTGCTCACTCTTAAGTCTCTCCAGGCAGGTCGTATCCACATCTGGTAAATTGGGAAGCACTCATATATGAAATTCAGGACTATTTTTGCGCTACGTCCTGCTTGCATGGCGAAAAATGAAGATCTAAACTTTATATGTGGATGGTCAGAGACATCAGCACTGATACAAGGTACTAAAGAATGTACCACTTCTTGAATCCACCTCCTGTATATAATACCGACCTTTCTTAAATGGAGTTCTAAATGATGTTGTTATATATAGGATACTACACTACAGGTCTCTCTGATCTCTTAACACACACTCGGTACTCCAGATCTGACAATACTAATAATTTATGGCCTAGAACTGAGCCTTACAAGCTATTGCTGTCATGTTAATCTAGTGTGTGGATACCTCTCAAAAATAAAACCGGTGTCTCCGACCTTACTTTTAAAGCAAAGGAGACCCCCTCTTAGGCCAAGCTGTTTACAAGATTTGTGGAGTAGGGAGGAAATGAACAGCACTGAATAGCAGCCACTCTCCCTTCCCTCAGCAGCTACCCTGTAGACAGCCATATGATAAAATGCATCTTTGGATATTTGCTACACCATTTTATCATATTATGCAGTTTTGATGGTTTCATTGCTTGCCACTTTTCCACAACCCGCTGACCCTTCTCTACACCTACTTGTAATAAGAACTACAGTTGGTGACATCCTGCATTTATCAGAATTTGACTTTCCACATTGCTCAAAACCACATAATGTAATGGCTGCATTGCCACTTCTGCTCATAATGGTGCTCTGTCACCTTGTCCTCAGGTGCACACAATTGTCCTCTTGTTGTGATGGATTTAACAATATCTTGGTATATCCACTTCTTATTTCAGAGAGAGAAAATGGTGCTTTGTTCCTGCATGCGTACACTGTCTGTCTTGCACCCTTCGCACGGGATGTCTTTCTGCCCCAGCTTTCCATCAGTGCTGCTCGGTGGAGTTGTTATGGGTTAATTTAGGACCAATTGAGTCTAGAAAGAGGAAACGAGATGGATATGGTGACTAGTTACCGTTATGGTGTGCCTGAGATCATCTGTAAACTGTCGCTATGTGGTTCTATGAGGATGTTGTTAAAGGTAGCGCCTATAGGTACCATTGAGTAGTGAAGAAAATGACTATATTATGTGTTTTCACTTGATCCTCGCTTTCGTGAGAGAGCACGAAAGTGTCAGTCCGCTAAGCAGTGTATCTAAACATTCTGTGTGAAGGTTTATTGGATAAATAAGGTAATTCTTTTATAGTCGTTATTCAAAAATTAGAATTATGCAATGCAGAAGCAACCTGAGCATATGCACCAGTATGTTGGTTAATTATAACTATACAGCGTTAAAGTAAACTCATATAGCTGTTTAACTTGAAAGTTTGGAGTACAAAGAAAACTGTTATTTGTTCTCATTTGTATCTTCTCTCAGTTTTTGCAATAATGCGAGTTTTTTTACTCTTATGTTTGTGTACCTAGAACAACGAGTGTTATCTATACACAAGGATGGAGACAAACATCTCACTTAAGAATTCAATATATCGTTTTTGACTTGCTGGCGCTTGCTCCACGTTGTGATTCAGGATGCTATTTTAAATCAGTGGGTTTTTCGGTCCTGAGGGGAACCCCCGGAGGATTGCAGCAGCAAAGGTCGACGTTAAAGTTTGTGTGTTGCAGTGCAGCTTTCGGATCACCTCGCCTCCTCCTACAAACCTTCAAAACCCAGAGTCACAGCTAGGAGACAGCCAATCAGGAGGCTGGCCGACCTTGTCTCAGTGGGTTGCTGCGGTGTGCTGTGTCACAGTCAAGCATACAAAATCAGCACAACACTCAGCAGTACAGGGGTGTGTGTTGTGTGTTTGGTGTTCATGTGAGCTGGCGTCCTTCATCAAAGGAATGAGTGTGGTGTTTACTCGTCTCATTTTAACACAACAATGGTGTTCATTGCCTTTATTGAGGGACCCTGCGCCCCCCCCAGCGCGCGCGCCCCGCCCCCCCCCGTGCCGCCGGCCTCCCCGCGCGCCCGCCCCCCCGCGCCGCCCCCACGTGACTCAACATGTAACCCTGACTTGTAAATGGAGAACCAACAATGTAACACAAACGTATCGTGTTCCACTCAAAGACATTTCTTTCACAAATAGAAAGCATTTCGGATTATGAGGTACACTGCAAAAAGAACAGCCTCCTTCTAGAACAAGTCAAGATATTCTAAATTCATAATTTCTAATAGTTGTTTCTGTTGAGCAAAGAAATCTGCCAGTCGGGCTGTGCTGTTGCTACTGTTGAATAATTCTTACAAACTATCATAAAAATTCAGAGCCACTGAAAGACCTAGAATGGCGCCATTAAAACTTAGGCCAAATACTTTACAAGCTACAGGCTAACGTTATGCTACCGAGCCAGAGAGGCTAGATGTTATTCTTGTAGGAGTTCAAAGTCAATAACACTTGGCCAGCAGTGTCGACAAACAGTTACATATTATTTGTCTGTATGTTTGCGGCACAAAGAGTCAAACAGACTAAGCTAAAGACTGTCAGAAATGATTTATTCTGTTTCAGTGAAACCATTACTTGTTTCAGGTGTGTTCGTCATATCTCAGGCAAGGTGAGAGTCAATACAGGGTTTTCGTAAGATCGCTATATGGTAGAGAAAACAAGACCCGAAGCAAATAATACCATGCTTAAACTAAAACAACAAAGTCAAAAAATGCGGATTTGTGCTATACGCTTGATGTATTAAGCACAAACTCGTCCCTTGCTGTAGATTGATAATTGTATCAAATTGTATAAATAACTGGTAACAATAACGACCTATCTAACATCTTATACTTGGTAGAGTTATACAGAGTTATACTTCAAAGGAAGTAGTATCAGTATAAGCAGGACTATGAACTGGAACCAAAATTGGATGCACTGTCATACCTCTGTGACCTGGTGACAGCATCCTTATCTCCCAAAAGACACATGGTAGTTCTAATGTGGTCCTCAGGTATGGACATCTTCTGTGTCAATCGATAGAAAATACTGTGGTTCCTCTGGATCTGAAATGAATAAACATAAT